GCTTCTCTCCAAGTTTTTTGAAACCTCTCATACTCTACTTCTCGTTTATTGATATACAACAAATCTTTGTGAGTGTTCTATTTCTTCCTGTATAACTCTGCTGTCATTATCTCCACCCAGAAGTGAAGAGTCAGGCCCTTATAGCTAGAAGCAGAAGAAAATTAAAGAGTTTATCCACAGCTCAACAGTCTGTGCAGTAAGATCACCCTAACTATTTCAATATGCTGAGAAACACAAATCTCACATACAGAGGAAGTTGGAAGAAAACTCATTTCTCCTATACACCTATATAGGCTTTTTAGACTCAGGTATCCATTCCCTCAAGCATTTACCTTTTGAGTTACAATCCAAACACACTTGAAGTTATTTTTAAACGTACAATGAAGTTGTTATTGACTATAGTCTCACCCTATTGTGCTATCAAACAGTAGGTCTCATTCATTCTATTTTTTGGTACCCATTAACCATCACCACCTCTCCCCTGCCCACAAATAAAAGCATATAACCATAGGCTTATCAAGAATTCTATTCTTTTGTTTCATCTGATAGTTTTCATTACAGTTAGAAATTACCAAAGAGCTTGCCACACTCCCTGGAAAAAAAAAAAAAAAAAAAAAAACCTCATAAGTATTTTAGAGAAGGTATGTTTAGCCAGATAATCAAAAGTTAAAAGCATAAAGTGAAGATGTTTCCCAGGTAATCTGAGAGGGGCTCAAGACAATGAAGAACTTGCAGGTGCTCAAGTTTGTTTTTTTCATTATTCATATATTCAGTTAACAGTATTTGTTGACATTTGATATCTATTTACTAAAGAGTCAACTTGTACTACAACAGATTCTATCCAAAGAAACCCTAACATCTAGTTTAGGAGATAGTATGGCATGAAAGATCATGCTCTTGGGATCAAAAATACCCTTGCTTCAAATTCCAATTCTGCCACAGTTACATGAACCCAGGAAAATTACTTAACCACTGCATCTCTTTTTCACGGGGGGAGAGGGTATTTTAAGTTTACAAAAAGATGATAATTGTTTTCTAGGAATGTAGTAAGGATCAAATGATGTTATATACAGAAACCCTGTGCCAGGACTATAGAAGATACCCAGGGGATGTTAGCTTCCTTTGGAAAATGCAAGCTTTTCTTCATTCTCCACTAGGGCAGTAAGATCAACTTGTCATTTATTGGAGTTCAGTTTTAATTTTAATTGTATATAAATATATATATTTATGTAGGCAATAAATGTATATATTTATGGCATACATGGTGTTTTTATATGTACAGTAGACCTCCCCTTGCCCACAGTTTCCCTTTCTAAGCTTATATTTGTATAAAACATATTCTGATGTTATATACAGAAGCCCTGTGCCTGGACTATAGAAGACACTCAGGGGATGTTAGCTTCCTTCGGAAAATGCAAACTTTTCTTCATTCTCTACCAGGGCACTAAAACCAACTTGTCATTTATTGGAGTTTAGTTTTAATTTTTAACCACCTCACTCTACCATATATATACACGCCACTGATTTTACAAAGAATGTTTTTAAACACAATTCTTACTGTAGCAAATTAACCCAGGTGATCTTTGTTGAAAGTTTTCAAAAAAACACGGGTCTTAGCTTTAAGATTACTTTAACATGAGGTGATATTTATTTTGTCACCTTATGGTTAAATAAATGACAAGGAACAGCTAATATCGTCTAAGTCAGTATCAGAGTTTGAGAAACAAAAGTGGGGAGAAGTTATATGGAGAGAAGTCAAGAGATACACGTCGTAAGGAAAAGGCAGTAATATGTGAGTGAATGCACTCACAGACCTGCAGAGCGTGGCATCACTGCCAAGAGGTGGTGATGTGTGTGAAAACACTTTAGCTGTCCAGAAGTGAACCAGTATCTACCAAAGGTGGAATGTTCACCTTCAGCTAAACACTGCCAATTATGCACATGTAACAAGAATAAATCTCAAGAGGCTCACAGGGAGTTACAACACTAGGCAATTCTCTACAGCAGTGGTGTGCATTGTTATCCAATGCTGGAGGGGTACTCAGTGCTCCAAAGGAGCACAGATGAAGGAGTAATTCATTCTACCTGGTGGACTAGAAAACCAGAGTTTGCCGGGTGTTAAATACTTGTCAGGACAGTGATTCCAAACAAGGGAGCCACATAAGTAAGAGTTCAACGATATGAAAAGGCTCTGCGTACTCACAGACACGCGGGATCAGGTCTGATGGAGAGAGGTTCATGAAGATCAGGCTGGAGAAGCAGATTGAGGCAGTTTGTAAAAAGTCTTCAAGACTACACTGCAGAGTTTCTTTTTCCTTTTCTTTTTAATTTTTTTATTTCCATAGGTTTTTGGGGAACAGGTAGTACTTGATTACATGAGTAAGTTCTTTAGTGGTGATTTGTGACTTGATCGTTCAATGAGGAAGGGACAGCAAAGCTTTTGAAACAGATGTCATAACTCAAAGGAAGCCTGAATTAAGAAAGTGGTATGGAAACTCATTATTTCTTTCCTTCACCCATTTGTACCAACTATACAAAATACTGGGGCTACAAAGTTAAAATAAGTATTAAAAATAAAACACAGACATAGTCCCTGCTAGGATGAAACTTACAAACTAGCAAAGACAGTAGTAACTAAATAATTACAAAATTTTAAACACAATCATAGTATTTACTTGCGGAGCTATAAGGAAGAAACAGTTGCTGAGAAAGAATGCCAGGGACAGCACTGAGGAACATTTCAGAAAGAGGCACATATGATACTTGGTGATCAACTGGAAGTGCAGCAAGGAGAAGAGAAGATGGTTCCAGGATTGCCAGCTTATATACTGGATGGATACTGGTGCTGTCAAGCACAGTGAAAGAAGAACAAAACAAGGAATGGGAAAGCCACTTTATGGCTGGTTTGTTTTGGATCAGAAAGAGTTTTAAGCACCAAATGACATCCAAGTGAAGTTCACCAGTTGCACCAGAAGGACTGCAGCTCAGGATAGTCTGAGCTTGGAAGGAGATTTTGGAAAAGACAGTGTCAAGGATGAATGGTGGGTAAAGTGTTAGTGGTACTCTTATAATCTTTTTCCCACTAATAATTTTCTATCGTGAAAATAGTATTAAATGCTCCCCACTGCCCTGCAGTAATAATGAAGAAAAGAAGATACCTTCCAATAGTCTATTCTCACCTAAGTCCATGCCAGATAACTCTGAAAGGGGCAGTCAGTCCCCAGACCAGGAGCATCAACATCATCTGGAACTTATCAATGCAAAGTTTAGGGCCCCACCCAGGACCTACTAAATTAGAAATTCTGGGGCTGGGTACAGCAGTCTGTTTTAGAAAACCTCCAGGTAATGCTGATGCACTCTCAGGTCCGAGAGACACTGGGCTTGCTCATCATAAAAACTGTACACATTTAAGAAAATAACTATCTCATTTTAGCTGTTAGTTCTGTTTAGTGGAAAAATTCAAGGTTTCTTTTTGCCTGCAGGGTTCTCTCATCCGTATGTTAAACATGTGTAGAATATCTCATCTACGCAGAGTAGTGTGTTTGTTGAGGGAGACTGAGTGTAAGGCATAAAAATGGTCTCTGCCATCAGGGAACTGTCATCTGGTTGAGGAGACAATATACACATCTGAAAAGTTCAACAAGCAGATAAGTGGTACAGTTCAACAGAAGCAGCAGGTGAAGATTTAAAGTGCTAAACAATAAGGGCACTAAGAGTCACAAGCTAGGGGAACAGCGGGAGGCAGGAGTCAGACCTATGATAATTAAGCCTGACAGGGGTAAGTTTGAACTCTGTATGAACTTTTAATGAGATACAACAGAACCCCTTATTTGCATCTCCTCCCTCTAAGAAGAGGTTTGCTGAGCTTCGGAAATGGTTTAATGATATACTCAAAGTGGAAAAGACTCGAAGTGAGTAAATTACAGTTGGGCAAATAACTGTCAAAAGAAGGAATAAGAACATTCTTGACCTCGGCCCAAGGGTATCGCTGTGCTCTGGTTTGCACTAGCTTCAGCACCACTGCAGGCTCACTGAAGGTCAAGTTCCCTTTCAGTAATGCTTTATATATCCAAGTCTACCTGCAGTTATCAAAATGCTTCCTAAGAGGCATTTAAGAGTAAAATAGTCCAGTTCTGAATCATTCCCTAGCACCTACCGAAGGAGCTCAGTGGCTCCTCTGTGTTCTCAGCGGTCAGGGATTGGATGCAGGAAAGAAGAGCAATGGGGGCTGGCAGGCACGCTTCAGGAGTAAGCACCGTGTACATGGCACGCTGTTAAGCTCAGATCTATTACTGAATACCAAGGAGGAGGCTCCCGCGATTGAGACAGCGGGGATAAAGTCACCCTCCTGGACCTGGCGCTCCGGTCCTGCAATTCGCTCCTAGGGCTTCAGACAAGGGTGGGCTTACAAGCGAGGACAGTGCATAGGGCAAAACCACAAGTCAGTCCACGGTGGGAATGCCTCCGGATACCACTGGGTGGAGAGTTGGCAGTGGGGCACAAAAAGGATTTCAAAGGGCTCTGAAAACCGAAAGCCCCTAACCCGGATACGAGGGGCCTCGAGAGAAAGGTTTGTCCGCCCCTGCAGATCAGACGCGAGCCAGGGACACACCTCGGATGGTTTCCCAGCTTGGACGGCAGGACGCTCTGGCGAGCGCTCCAGTCTGCCGGGCAGCAGAGCCAAATAGGGGAGGAGAGGATGGGAGCTGTATTCCACACCCGCCGCACCCGGCATCCAGCCCCGGTGAACTCGAGCAGAGCCATGGCGAACCCGGCCTCAGATTCTGGGCCTCTAGGGGTTCCTCTGCCCAGAGATCCCACATCGGGGGCGCGAACCTACCCGCTGTTGCCTCACTCCTTCACCTCCATACACTGGCGCCCTCCTCCCCCAGTTCAGACCCTCAGAGTCCCTTTCCAAGGGCGGGTGCCAGGAGGGACGCCGGCGACCGCCAGGGAGCTCGACAGCGCTGCCAGGAGTCCTCCCGCCCCTTCTCAGTCTTTCCGCGCGCTTCCTTAAGCTTTTCGCTCCATCAGGGAAGCGACTGCAGAACCAAGCAAAGGCGGTCATCCAAGGGGCCGGCGAGGCCAAGAACGCGTCGCCGCGTGTCCGTGACGAGGGCACCGCGCCACGGATGCCAGATCCCAGGCTGGAGAGAGGGGGTAGGGGCAGAGCAGAAAACGCGGGCACCACTCAGGGTTTGGTCCACGTCCTTCCTGCCCGTGGCCTTCCTTTTCCCCCGCACTTTACCTTGTACCAGGCTCCTCTAGATCCGCAGGCAGAGGCGCAGAGCCGAAGCCCGGAGGAGAGGAGTTTGAGAGCCGCCATCTTCGGGCCGTGAGGCAGGAGGAGGCTACCGGGTGGAGCGCGCGTTTGGGTGTAGGTGCGCGCTGTCCCGGGCGCCGCCGAGTCACTGCGAAGGAAAGCGGGGCGTGCTGGGACCTCCACAGCGCGGCTCTGACGTCCTCCCGGCCTTTCGAGCCGCACGCCGCTGGCGCGCTGCTGGCTGCTGCTTTTAAAAGAAGTGAGGCTGGGCGGGGCCCCGGCAGGGAGAAGAGGCTCTGCGCAGCCTGAGCGGATCGCCGGGAAGTTCCTCTCAGAGCCTCAGGTGTCTGGGCGTAGGCGAGACCGGGCGTGTGTTGGCGCGCACTTGCCGCTGCAGCCCTTCTGTCAGCCCTTTAGCTTAGATGGGGCGCTGGTGGCCGCCTCCCCCTAGGTTGTGGATGAGTCTTTTGGCCTAGGATTCAAGGCCCTCCGGCCGCGGGAGGACCTCCCGCCAAGCTTGTTGCTTTTCCAAGTGAGTGCTTCGTGTGTGTGTGGGCTGCATAGGGGCACCCCTCGAAACCCCCTTCTCTTCTCCAGCCTGGACTGCGTTCACGTTTCTAACATTTCTCAGCCCCCTCTTCCCAAACCTGGCCTTGGCTTACTTAGAGTAAGTTTGCTGCGAGGACCTGCCTCGAGCTGTCGGTCAAGAGGTGTGAGCAACAAGGCTTGCAGAGGAACAAGATTAAGACTGAACCTCTGTGACCTGACTTTAGCACACCTTTTCTTCCCCATCATCCAAGTTTGCAAATTTCAGGCTCTTTCTCGCACTGGAGTCCGAGCAACCCAGAGATTTACTAAGGAGATGCAACCATAAAGGTAGCATATTGCTTTAACTTTAGGCAAGTTAGATAACTTCCCTAAGCCTCAGTGTCCTCATCTGCAAATTAAGATTGCTTATAATACAACGTCATAACGTTTCTATGAGTTAATTCATGCAAAGTTTCTGGCCGTATTATGAGGAGTCAATAAATGTTAGCATTATTTTAAGTTTATTCCATTGTAGCAGTTCATTGACACGGCACGTACATATTCTGCAACCTTTGTCTTTTGACCAACTCCTTGAGGACATGAGCTAAGACTGATTTCTCCAGAACTGTCTTTGCACTTAGCAGAGTGGAAAGACCAAGTGGAAGCTCAAATAACATTTTATTTGATTAAGGCCTGACCAAGTTCTGAGAACGTGATGTTAGTTTTGAACCAACGCAAAGCACACAAAAATTAAATGAGATCTTAGCTTCCTTAGCAAATACAGTAAGGTAATGAACAGTGAAGATCCAGTTCAAAGTTTGTCCATAAAAGCATTTGCCCTTGCGTGGTATTCTTTTAACTCTGAACTTTTTTTCCCTGTAAATGTTATACTTTTAGGCAAAATCTGTTAAGGACTAAAATACCAAGTTAGACTATTCAATTACATTGGAGAAACTAACTTAGTAATGGTTGGTATTTCAACACATTTTAAGAAGTTGGAGTGAGGGGAAATTCAAGTACTGTAACTAAAGTCCCACAACTAGTGATAATTTAGCATATAGCAGCTGTTGTACCTTTAACTTACGCAATGTGAAAAAAAACTAGCATTCCAATTGAGTCTACTTTTCCACTTTTGCCCATTCCAATTGGGTCTACTTTTCCACTTTTGCACTTCCACAGGGCACATGAAATGGAAAAACTGCATTGGCAACTTTGCCGGTGGTCATATGACTGACTCTTGGCTGGTCTCACTTTGTTGCTCTTGGCTGAGGAAGACACATTTAAAATGTTAAATGTTATGTGACTAAGTCTCCTGAGAAAATCAGCCTCATTACTGTATGGTCAAAACACACTGTACTGTATTTTTCATGACTATGACTTCATTTTATACTTTTTAAATAATGTGTAAGTCTCCTCGACTTGAATAAATTGGATTACAAATTACAAAAAAGTTCTTATATGCTGATTTGCCTTCTAGTTACACAAAGGCACTTCAATTTTAATTGATGTGCAAAATTTTACTTCTTTTAAATATCTGAACTTTTCTAAACTAGTAAGGATATTTTCCACTTGCTTTGAAAGGCGGTTTCTGGCAAATATGTTATATTCTGGAAACTTTTCTTTGTGGAATCTTACAGTTTAGCTTCCACACTTTTAAAAACTGGGAAAATTGTATTCAAAGCCTTTAAACAAAAGGTCTGATTCCAGTCATGGAATGAGGAAAGTTTTTTTTGTTTTGTTTTGTTTGTATTATGGGTTTTTTTTTTTTTTTTTGGTACTATATTATGATACATATGTGTATGTGTGGGTGTGGTGTGGGTGTACATACACAGAGTCATGTGCCACATAACATTTTGGTCAATAATGGACAGCATATATGATGGTGGTCCCATAAGATTATAATAACATATTTTACTGTAGCTTTTTTATGTTTAGAAATGTTTAGCCAGGTGCAGTGGCCCACGCCTGTAATCCCAGCACTTTGGATGGCCAAGGCAAATGGATCGCTTGAGCCCAGGAGTTCGAGACCAACCCAGGCAACATGGCGAAACCCCATCTCTACAAAAACAAACAAACAAACAAAAAAGGAGCCAGTGTGGTGGAGGGCACCCATAGCCAGCTACTGGGGTGGGGTGTGGCGTGGGCAGTGGGGACTGAGTCAGGAGGATTGCTTGAGCCTGGGAAGCAGAGGTTGCAGTGAGCCGAGATCGCTCCTTTGCACACCAGTGCAAGACCCTGTCTCAAAAAAAAAAAAGAAAAGAAAAGAAAAATTTAAATACACAAATAATTACCATTATGTTACAATTGCCTACTAAATATTGTGCAGTAACATGCTGTACAAGTTTGTAGCCTAGGAGTATAAGCCATACCATATAGCCTAGGTATGTAGTAGGTTAGACCATCCAAGTTTATGTCAGTATATTCTATATTAGCACAATGACAAAATAGCCTAGCATCTCATTTCTCAGAACCTGTCTTTGTCATTAAGCAAGGCATAACTGTGTGGCACCATTTTATCAGATAAATGCAGGTAACGTGTCAGAGTTTAATTCTCTGTTTTAAGGAGTTTCATTTTAATTCTCCTTAAATATGATGCATTAGCATCTCTCATTAGTGCAAGATAGGACATCCTGTTCTCACAGTTGATGGTATACTCCTCCAGGCTGATAATCAGGGGCATCTGAAGACTTGTTTTTCAAATGTTGATTAACTGGTTTCACTAGAAATAGCAGTTTTTAAGTAGGTCATTTGAGTCACTTATAAAAGTGCATGTGTGCTTCATTTTATGACAATAGTCCTTTAATATATGGAGAACACAGCCCTTCAAACAATTTGCCTTTAGTAGATTTGAAGAACATAAATCTGAAACTTCACATAAATCTGTAAATCTAAGTATTGTTTTATAATGCAAGTCATCACCCATTAATTTGCATATTTTGCAAGCTTATTTGCATAGATCCTTTGAAGGAGTCCCTTGTATTAACTAGTGTGTATTTAATATTTGTTCAATGAATAAAGAAAAAATAAACTGTTTCTTTTTTTTTTTAATGTAGTTTTCTCAGGAAAAAAGTAAAATAAATGCATGAGATACTTGGAGAATGCTTAAGGCCTGGAATGAAATTGAAAATTATGATAAGGTACTAAGGAAACCTAAAAGAGTAAAATGCACCAGAGTGATCTTGTATACATTCAAAACTGATCATCTTATTTCTGCTTAAAATCTGTCATTGATTTTTCTCCACTGCCTTTGAGATCCAAAGTTCATACTTCATAACATGACATAGAAGAGGATCATCTCTCCTGGTCTTCCTTTCCCCCACACATCTGCTTTTTATTTCAAACTATATGTGCTTCTTGATTTTTACACAGTGAATTTGCACAACCTCAGAATCAAGTGTTGACAGCAAAATAATAAAGAGCAGGAATTCTGTGGTTAGGCTGCTAGGGTTCAAGTCTCAGCTCTGTAGTCTCCAGCTATGCGGCCTTCTGTGGTGCAGTAGTTAAGCAGGGCTTACAGAATGTCAAGATGTAAGGTAATCTCTAGATCAGTATTTGTATTATTCAGGTGTTAAAAGATTATACATTATTATTTCCCAGATGCTATCTTAGTCCGTTGTTGCTCCTACAACAAAATATCTTAGGCCGGGTAAGTTACAAAAAGAAATGTATCTCTCACAGTTCTGGAGGCTGGAAAGTTCGAGATTAAGGCACCAGCATATTGAATGTTAAATTAAATTAAATTTGGCCTAAAGCTGCTTCCATACTTTGAAATTCTGCATAGCAAACTGCACCTAAGTTAGTGTTTAAATAAACCTTACTTAAGAGTATATTCTTGTAACAAATAGCTGAGTCTCAGCTAATTACAGCAGCCAGATTTCATCCAATCACAGACTACCAACTTATAAGACCATGTCCACATAAGGCAAATGCCTCATTGCATTGTGCCTAAATAAGGCAAATGCTGGGCCGTTAATCAAGCAAGCTGTTTCTGTACTCTCAATTCCTCTTTCTGCCTATAAATATTGCCTGCTCACATTGCTGAGTGGGGCTTTCTGAATCTCCACTGGTGTAGAGTACTGCCTGATTCATGAATTGTTCTTTGCTCAAATAAACTCTGCTAAAGTTAATTTGTCTAAAGTTTTTCTTTTAACAAGAGTCTGGTGAGAGCCTGTTCCTCATAGATGATACCTTCTCTGTGTCCTCACATAATGGAAGGGGCAGAAGGCACAAACAGTTCCCTTGTACCTCTTTTATAAGGGCACTAATCCCATTCATGAGCTCTCATGATTTAATCACCTCTGAAAAGCCCCATCTCTTAATACTATCACATTGGCAATTAAATGTCAACATATGAATTTGGGGAGGACACATTCAAACCATAGCAGATGCTTTCTATATTTTCATAAACTGAAAAACACAAGGCAAGATTCAAACTCCAGACCATATGTTATTAAAAGCTGTTATTTCTTTATACCTCCCTCTTTCTGAGATATCTTTGAATCTTACCCCAACTCTCCAGTTTCACTCCTTTTGCGCTATTTCAGGGCCTCAATTTCAGTTTCTTTCATCTGAATTATTTCAGTTTCTTTCTAAATAAATTTCCATTCTCCCTCAATTTAAACATACTTAAATTATCATTTCAAATACAGGATCTGGACTTCTCACATCTTTTTCTAAAATATTTCAAGAAATCCTCAAAGGCTACAAGTGAAGTCCAACATTCAATTACAGCCAAGATTTTGTTTAATCTAGCCTCAACAAACCATGTGGCCTTAAGGGCTCTGCAGAGGCATTTTAGGGGCTATGCAAACATGATATTTTGAAATTAAATTTTAGATTACATTTTTACTATCCTATCAACACTAATAAAGAAGGAGCATGCACACTCAATTGTGATCTATCTTCAATTTAAAAGTATTAAAAATTACCAAATTGTCTCTGGGCATGGTGGCTCAGGCCTGTAATCCCAACACTTTGGGAAGCAAAGGTGGGAAGATCACCTGAGGTCAGGAGTTCCAGACCAGCCTGGCCAACATGATGAAACCCCATCTCTACTAAAAATGAACAATTAGCATGGCATGTGGCACATGTACTCCAAGCTACTCTGGAGGCTGAGGCAGGAGAATCACTTGAGCCTGGGAGATGGAGGTTACAGTGAGCTGAGATCGCACCAAGTAGTCCAGCCTGGGTGACAGAGCGAGATTCCATCTTAAAAAAAAAAAAAAAAAAAAGACCAAATTATGCAGTTGGGAGACAAACCTTAAAGTTTCCTCATCATCGAATTTCCTATATTTGGATATATAAAATATGTCATTGATAAAGAAGTTTGTAGCTCTGTATTTATCTTTTTATCATTTAGACCTCTGCATTTTGACTCACTTAAATTTGTATAAATATATAATACTTTGAGGCTCTGGTCAGAGACATGTACTGCCTAGAATTATTTCTTATCACAGCATAGTAGTTGTTCAAAAAGAGCATATAAAACACTTCATAATAATATTATACTATAAATAATTTTAGAGATTATTTTCCATTTTGGCTACATCTTGTCTGACGTTTACATATGTGAACAAGAGATAATTGACATTATTAGTTATTGACTATTGAAGTAAACATTTCCTGCTACTTTTCTTTCAAGCTTCTAATCTACTTTAATTGAAGCATATAGTGAAATTCTAGGACAAGCTGCAGTGTGAATCAGAAATTTCTTATTATCGTACAGCCAAACAGAAATAAAATAAACAAAGTATCAGATATAACTCCATGGTTGCAATTTTTTAGGTTCTCAGAAGAGTGTTATTATTCTCATTTGTTCCATGTATAACAGGAAAATATTTCATAATTAAAATGATAAAATGCATTTAAACTGTAAAGTACCACTTTTATGCATTGTATATGTTGGGTTCTAAATACAGTTTTATTTGAAAGGGTGACTCATATTAAATATGTTTGAAAATTATGGCTTTAGCTAAATTGGACTACTTTCTGCTCCCTGCACATACCAAGCACCTTCTGACAGGGAACATTTGCTAAACCCTTTTTTTCCTGTGCCAGCTGAGCAAACTCCTACTCCTCTTTCAAGACTCAGATCAAATGTCACTCCTCTGTGTACCTTGCCTGTTCACACTCCGAATTCCACCTCTTAAAAAACTACTTTCTTTTTCTTTGTGCTCTCAGGGCCCTTGGTTACCTGGATTATGAGCTTATCAAGTTTTGTTCATTTTTGTATCCACAGTGTCCTAGGATTTCTTTTAAGCATAGAGCAGTTCAACAAATATCAGTTGTGTTGACTTGACTTGGGTAGCCCTTTTTGCTGCCTTAATACAAGCCATGAACTTAACCTGTGTCTCTCAGCTCAGCTCTTTAGATTGAATATTTTCTTTCTAATCATAATGTGATAGTAGTAACTATTTACATTTGCATTCTCTTTTACAGCTTAC